ACCTGTGGTCCACACCCTCTTGTTCCACCCCAGGAAGATTGGACTCCAGAAGCAGTCTCGTGTGTGTGTGTTTGTGTGTGTGTGTGCCCAGCAGGGCCTCCTCTCTGTCTCTTCTGCCTCTTCTCCTTTCCTAGAACTGATGGCCATGTCCTGGACACTTGGGTAGAGAAAGCATGAAAATTAGGAGACCAGCTGGAGAGCAGCTGCCTTGTTGTCCTGAAGCATTTGGTAATGACAGTAGTTTCAGTGTTATCATCAACAGTCTGCAAGGGCCTGAAGCAGGAGATGCTTGGATGTGGCTCGTGAGCATGGGATTCAGTTTCATTTTGTTTTAAGGTACCTTCTTAGCCTTTGGTGACATGGGCTGCATTTTGTGCTCCACCAGATTAAGCAGTCAACACAGAGGGGTTCTAGGGTCCATTGTCAGGGTGTGGTTCCCTCAGGAACTCATGTGACCTCAGTGACCAGTGCCTATGCCCCCATGGACTCTTCTTTCTTTGGCTCATCCTCAGATTCCATCGTCAGAGAGGAACTTAAGTGACACTTGACCAGACTCACTGTATACTAACTGAGTTGCATTCATGGCCCTCCCTCTGCACGCAAGGCAGATTGTGCTGGTGCCCACATGCTGGGAATTAAGAGTTGTGGTTGTACCACTACCCCTCCATATCCTATAATAGTGCTTCCATTGGCCTCCCCCAGTATCAGGAGGAATCTGTGTCTCTGAGTCTTCAATTAAATGGGAAAATATCCTCTTCTGATATCAGAGATGATTGCTCCAACCTCTTCCTTTTGTATACAAACGTCCTTACTAAATGGTCCATAGCAACAGCGGCAGTTCTAATAATATTAAAAAATGCTGGATAATGGAAAGGTCTTTTTGTTATTGTTGTTTTGAAAAAGCATGGGGAGTGTGGGGTTAAAGGAGAGAAACAGGAAGCATAGATCCTGGACTGGGCTCTGGCTTTATTGCTGTTGCTGGGCATATTGTGAGTCCAGTTTCCCTGCTTGTGAAATAGGGACAATAATATTTACCTATAAGCTTTTGGGAAGATTTGAAATGACCTATCACTGTGCTTGGAGATATTTCTTTTAATCCACAGACATAAATGTTAATAACCTAATGCCTCGAAATTTTTAAAAATAAATTTATTGGTACAATTCAGATATACATTATGGTCACATTCATCATAGGGAGTTTTTAGCTGTACATATATTTCGATTCCTCTTTTCCCCCTATAACTCCTTTTCCTCTCCTTATTTTCAAAGCTTTGTTTCTAATTTATCTTTCTTTTCTCATTTCTCTTCCCTTCATTCCTCCCCTCACCTCCATTCCCCCCCCCCATTTGAACAATTTCTTCCTTATTTCAATAATATCAATTATAAATTTTGGTCCTTATTATCCATTTGGTTTCTCACACCAGACAGACAATGCAATATTTATGTATGTGTATATGATTTATTTCACTTAAGAGTATGGTTCCAGAGTGCATCCTTTTAGCTAGATGTCTCAAGTTTGTCTTTCTTTATGGCTGAGTAGTACTTCATTGTATACAAAAACCACACCTTGTTTATCTGTTCATCAGTTGATGGGCATTTGAGCTGTTTCAAAGATTAGCTATTACAAACTATGCTGCTATAACTATGGGTGCACATATATCACTGTGGTATGTGCTTTTAGTTATTCTGGGAAGTTGCCAAGTAGAAGAATAGCTGGGTCTAATGCGATCTCTAGTCATAGTTTTCTGAGGAATCTCAGTTCTGATTTCCTCAGTGCTTGCAGCATTCTACACTCCCACCAACAGTGGAGAAGACTTCCTTTTTCCCCACAGCCTCTCCAGCATTTGTTATTGGTTGATTTCCTGATAAAAGCCATTCTTTCAGAATTGAGATGGAATCTAGTATTGTTTTATTTTGCATCTCTCAAGTGACCAGTGATAGGGAACATTTTTTCATATAGGTCTTTGTGATTTGTACTTCTTTATCTGAGAATTATCTGTTCATTTTAGATGCCCATTTTTGGACTCAACCTTTAAATTTGGGGATATGGTTTTTATTTTAGTTCTTTATATATTCTAAATATTAGTCCTTTGTCTAAGGAACAGATGGCAAAATTTTCTTCTCCACTTTGTGGATTGTCTCTTCACTCTGTTGGTAGTTTCTTTTGCTGTGAAAAAGCTTTTTAATCAGATGAGATCTCAGTTGTTGATTCTTTGTAGTATTTTCCTTGCAATCAGGGTTTTGTTCATGAAGTCTTTGCCTACCCCTATGTCTTCAAGAGTTCTACCTGTTCTATCTTCTAGCAGATTTAGTGTTTCAGTTTCAATATTTAGGGTTTTGGTCCATTTTGATTTTAGTTTGGTGCATGGTGATAGATGTGTCTAGTTTTAGTCTTCAGCATGTGGAAAACCAATTTTTCCAGCACCATTTATTAAAGAGGCTATTGTTCTTCCAGTGAAGGTGTTTGGCCCTTTTGTCAAAGATAAAGTGGCTAACTGTGAAATTGTCTCTACAATTTTTTGTCTGTTCCACTGATCCTCAGATTTGTTTTTCTGCTGGTACCATGCTGCTTTTATCACAATAGCTCTGTAGTATGGTTTCAAGTTAGGGATTGTGTTGCCTTTGTTTCCCAAAATTGTTTTTGGTGTTCTAGATCTCTTACGGTTACAAATGAATTTTAGGGTTATTTTCTCTAGTTCAGTGAGGTGTATTAATGGTATTTTGATACATAACTTAAAAAAATATGAGTATTAGGTGGCACCATAAAGTTTTCAGTGCTCAAGGCCCCTCTATGTGAATCTAGTCTTGAATACATCAGCTTATACAGTGCTGTGCACTATGTTCCCTTAGGTTTAAAGCAGCACTCTGTTTTAGCACAGATGGAAAGGTGAAATTCTGCAAAGCTGAGTGAGGGCAGAAAGCAGCTTTGCTAGCTCTAAGGCCTTGTGAGTGATTCTAAGTTTAGTGCAAATACTTTATTTTTTAAAAATTTGACATATTTTAATAATGAAAAGATGGAATATAGAAGAATGTGGAGAATAGCATGACACATTTATGTCCACATGACCAAGAATTAACAATATGAACATTCTGCCATATTTCTTTCAAATCTTTTCCTTCTTTTAAAATGAATGAAGACAAAATAGATACTGTACCTCCCTTAGCACTTGATGCTGCTCCATCTCATTTGCTAACGCTTTCATGTGTGTCAATTTAGTTTTTTGCTAATATTTTCATGTGTAATAATTAGATCTTGTGTGTTATTTTCATGTGTATTAGTTTAATCACCTGAACCTGATGGTAAGTATTTTGAAAACAAGAGTTTGCTCTCTTTGGTTACATAGTCTAGTAGTAGTTTCTGGCACATAGTAGGTAAATAGTAGTACATGTTGAGTAAATGAATGAGTGAATAAAATTTCTTTTTCTTTTGTTATCCTTCTTTATGTTGCCCTCCTTCATACCTATGCACACCTTTCTCATTTCAGTGCAATTAGCCAATAATAGACAATTCCTACATTTAGCTCAGGGGAAGAAATTTAAATTATACAGCACATTGGTTTTGAAAATGATGCAGTCATTTTTAGTTGAATCAGAAAATACTGCTAAAACCCCCCAAAAGAATAAGCTTTAATTCCATCTATAAAGATGGCAGTGTAAAACCTTATAAAATTAGAATTTCTGCATATTCCCTTTTGTAGACTGTTTTTTAAAATTTAACTTATAATGAGTATCTTTCTATGCCATCATATTTCCTGCTCAAGGATTGTAATTAATGTCTCCTTACCCAGGAAGAGACTGGCATGCATAAGTGGGAGAATACAGTGGGCCTAGCTGACCTTTTGTGTATTCGGTGAGGAAAAATCTTGCTGTCTAGGTTACTTTTAAGGAGCCTGTGAATTGTATAGCAAACTTAGGGGCTAGAAACTCACTTGAATATATTCCCAAACAGTTAATTTCTGATGGAATTTTTTTTTTTTTGGGCATAGAGACAGTTTTTTTTTTTTAAAGGAATAAAACTTTTCAGAATCAGACTGTCCTAGGTTTAAATTTTAGTTTGACCACTTGTTAGCCTTGTGGTCTTAAGAAAGTCACTGAATTTCTTTGAGATTCATGATCTATAAATACAGGTATGAGACTTTCTGCTGCCATCTGTGGGTTAGATCTGTACAGTGGCCATGATGTTTGAGTTTGGGAAGGGAATCTGGACTGGATATAAGTGTGTGTTGCGGGGTGATGGTGTCTAACTGCTTCTTTAGTCTTACTATAATCTTTTGACCTTTGATCTGCTTGACCCCTCACATACACTGCCCCTCCCATGCCAGCAGTGGCCCTGACCCCTTGCATTCCCAAGCTTCTGGGGCATTGTAACTATGAAACGATCTGCTTCTTGTAGGCTGCTTACAACTTAAGGTGATTTACCCATATGCTTGTTTTCTTCCAAAAAATGTTGTTGCTGTCTCCTTCTGTCACCTTCTCTCCATGCTCTCATCTTTCTTTATTGCTTTTCTGTCATTTTCATCAGGTTTGGAGAGGGAATGGAAATAAGCATCATGTTAAACTAGGAGTAGTAGCCTTATACAACTGGAAATGGATAATTTCATTGAATTATTTGAAGAGCATCTGGCCTCCCAAAGAGGTCAAAGTGCTAGGGATGAGAGTTCTTTTGGTTTAAGTTTCTAGAAGTGGAATTAAAGTACAGTACCACTGTAGGAGATTGAAAAGCCCTGTGGCATTAATCTTGTTTGGCTTTTCCTACATGTAAAATGTGTGATGTTAGCCTTACCTCTAAAAATGAAGGGCTGGATGCAGGACAGCAGAGATGTCACCAAAGACTGTGGTTTATCACCGTCACCCTCGTGGTTGGAGTCATTATTGTGTCCATCCAATGTATGATCAAGGCTCTGTGTCTCCTGCTCACAATGATAGGATGTGGCTCTCTGGTAGACAGGCTTAACCAACAAATGAGCATGTGTACCGACACTGCCTCATTTTCTTGCCAGAGACCTCAAGTTTGTTTGGCAGAGTGATGACCAGCTGACCAATTGGACTGGACTCATTAATGTCACCGTCGTCCCAAGAGTGCAGAGAAGCAGTAAATCCAACTCCAGGTACAGAACCCAGCAAATGGCCAGGGAGGGAGGAGAATGTCCTGTGGGGGCACTATAGTTCCTGCCCTTTTGCCCACCCTCAGAGCTGCCCACAGTGTGAAGTGGCTTGTTCCAGTAGCTCACAGCTCACTGCATTTTGGGGTCTGCTTGTCTTTAACTTGAGGGTGAGTAGATGTGAAGGATGAGAGATAGGACCCAACCTCAACAAAGTAGGAACTCTGTATCCCCTTCTGGGGCAGAGTGGAGTGGGAAACCTGGGTCTCAAGTCTCATTTGGGGATGGGAGCATAGGCTGTGTTCTGCAACAGGGATTTGGCACATTAGCAACAAATGTTAAGTAGGGGTATGTATGGATGGCATTGAGGGTGGCTGTCAGGCAGAGGTCCCTCGTTTCTCTGAAATCCACTGCACAGATCTGAGTGAAGCTGCTCTTGATTGGGGCAGAACTGTGTCCCTCAAAATGGCCTGAAAGCAGGGAGTGGTAGTACACACCTGTAATCCCAGAACTTGAGGCTGAAGTAGGAGGATTGTTGTGAGTTCGAGACCAACCTGGCTTACAAAAATGAGCTCAAGGCCAGCCTGAACTGCATAGTGAGACCTTGTATCAAAAAGGGAAAATACATAAATAATAAATAATATGGTGCTGAGATATGATGTTTATACCATCACATGGTTATTATCTCGATCTGTTATAGTGTTTGTAGCTGGAGCCAGTCATTAAGGGAACTCTGCAAACTCAGAAGTAGGAATTAAATGTTATTTATTTGGTGAGTAATAATGGAATATTCTCAGGCAGGAAACACTCTTTACAGGGAAGGATTGAAAGGAATTTTTGTAGACAAGGCAGGATTCCTTCTCTGCTTAGAGCTGGGTATGGTATGGGCTACCAGAATGTTCAGGGGCTGATTCAGTTATTTGATTTTTAAAAAAATATTGTGTTATAAATGTTGGCTATTAATCAGCTTATCTGGAAAAGAGGCTTGGGCTTTCTTCATAGTTAATTTTGATGTTTAAACATGAAGTTGGCCCTGCAGAGAATTTATGTGTTTTTGAGGTGATTCCCCCCCCGCCATCTTAGTTACTTTTCTTATTGCTGAGACAAAATACTCAGTACTCACAAGTTACAGAAGGAAAGGCTTATTTAGCTGAGAGTCTGTAAAGGTTTCAGTCTACAGTGAGCTGGCTCCAAGGATGGGTGGCATGGCAGAGGAATAGAAATAGTCCAAGATAAGCAAGGAAGAGATAGCAAAGCCGCAGCACCAAACAGCACCAGGCCTGCCTTCCCTCTCTCCTTTGATATGCCATCCACGCTGTAGACCTATAGATTGACGCCACCCACATCCAGTGTGAGGCTTTCATTATCCAGCCCCTTACACCCAGCATCACACCCTTAATCCACATTCACACATCCCAATCCAGCCACCTTTGAAACTCCACATCTATGACTGCATGCAGCTTTGGGGGGATATCTAGATACAAGCCATAACCTCCCCCATAAATGTGCTTTATTCAATGCTTTGAAAAGGTAAGTGTGTGGCTTTATGTCAGAAACCAGGAAACCAAGTACCCACAGGCAGGCCTGAGGGAATGGAGATGGCTACATGCCATGATGGGGACTCAAGGGTCTGATGCTGGCCTGTCAGGAACACAGCTCTTCCTGTATGTGGGCCGCAGGAGTCCTGGCCTGCCCAAATGGACAGTGGGCAAGGTAAGTGAGCTGGCGTCTGCCTCACTCAGGAGCCTCATGGAAAAGATAGACATCTGAGAGGCCTTGGCTAGAAAATGCTGGACTCAGCAGGATGATGGGAGATTGTTTCTTGACAGATACCCCCGTCAGTATCTGAAGCCACGGCACAGGTGCTCTCCTTCGGTGCTGCTATCATCCTCTCCTTTCCCTTCCTTAGTATTACCTTTCAGTTTCTTGCCTTCTTATTCTACCTGTTCTTCTCTTCCTTTCTTTGTGATTCCCTTTTTCGGCCCTCACTTATCCTTCCCTGTATCATTTCCCTTTCTCCTAATTTTCTGTTTCACTCCTTCTGTCTCAATGACTCATGCCAACCTCCCTTTCCTGCCACCTGGGATCTCACCAGGGTCAGAGGCACTGATGGCCTCTTTCAGTTTGCTTTTGGACTTTAGATGCCCTTATCCAGTGTCACTACCAGCTGAGTTGACTTCCTTGTGGAGAATCAAAATTCCCTTAGTCACAGAAAAAATGTCATGACTGTTCATCCCAAATTTCTCTGGGACAATTCCAATTTTAAGTCTCAATTTCCAGTTGACCCTAAAATCACCCATACTTGGGAAAGATGGTGCTATCTTCAGTTCCTGTGTGTGAGAGATAATGGTTTAACTATAGGTGGGAAATTTTTTACTTTGGTGAGTGAGCAGGTTGTGTTTTCTTTGAAATGGGTTGGGCAACTCCTGGCAACAGATTTGCAGGGCTGCGGGAGGACCGAATGAGGACACTGTTTACATCATCCCAGTTAACAACTCTGTGTGTCTGGATTTAGAATGCTTTCCATGGAATTATTCACCTATTGAATAATTCAGTGCATGCCACATTTTGCTATCTATAGTTGTGTGGTATGTTGAAGTGTGATACAACCTGTTATCAAATATTATTAATAGGGTTGGAAAGGAAGTTACAAAAATACCAAATAAAATCCAGGGAAAAAGAGGGGCAAAAAAATCAAATGATTCATGCACTGCATGCTCAAGAAGAAAACAAGGAGAGAAAAAGGTGGTCCCAGTGATCAGCCTGGAGCACTTCAAACGGAATCACAATGAAAAGCAACGCTGATACTGCTCATAACAGCTGCACTTGGATCTTTTCATTGGATACACAAAGGAGTGGCAGGAGTGTCTGGGCTCAATGAGAAAATGTATGAGTTGTAAAATATATATTGACATATAGCTTTATCAAGTTCAAGTCTGGGTCTACAAAGTACTATTCAATAAGCATCTTTATAAGAATTGCTCTAATAAGTAGAAAGGAATGATTTTTAAAAGCTTGTCTATTTACTCTGGTAAGAAGACAAGCTGTGTGCATGAAAAATAAGCCAGTGTCTCCTGAGAATCCGCCATGCTGGGACTTGGGGGACCAACCAAGAAATCAAGTATCCAGCCTCCCTGGTAAGCAGCGCAAGCCATGCATGCACCAGGCAGAGAAAAGCCAGCACTTCCCTTGAGCCTACCGGTGCACAGGCTGAGAATCAAACACCTCCCCACGCCCCCAGCCCACTTAGTGACTGGATGGTTCTGAGGACCATCTGAGTTGATAGCAACTAAGATACATAAAGCGACTAAGTGCTTGTATTGTTTGGTTGACTTTGCAGGCCTGGGGCCAGCAGTCTGAGCATCTCTTGGGAAGATGACTGTATGTAATATAGCAAATATGGGGGATTTCCTTTTATCTTGTCTTTGAAATCCAATATTGTTTTCACTGTTTTGCTTTGTTCTGATTAATTATTTTGCTTTATTCAGTATTCTGTTTTGATTGGTTTTATAGTGTTTTGTTTTTGGTTTGATTTTACTATACCTGATGGAATCAACAACTACTGTGAAGATAACAAGATAAACTATGGTAGCTATTATTGTTTTCCTGGTATCCTGCTATGAAGTTTCTGTACCAGTTTTGTTGCATTGTCTTGATTGGCTTTGTTCTGTCTTGTTTTGTTGTATTTTACTATCTTTAAAATTTAAAAAAGCATATCTATTTATTATCATTTTTCCCAATCTGGCTTAGTCATTTGTATGTGCATTCTTATTTTTTCTTTTTTAAAAATGAATTTTATTGGCATACTTTAGATATACATAATGATTGCATTCTTCATAGGGAATTTGTGCTTGTACATAAAATCCTGATTCTTCTTTTTTTTCCTGTATCCCCTTACCTTCCTTTAAGCTCTCTTCCCCTCCTTGTTTACAAAAGCTTTGTTTCCATTTTCCTTATATTCTTTTTTTCTTTTCCCTTCCTTCCTTTTTCCATCCCCCCTCCCTTGTTCTCTTTCCCATTTGAACATTTTTTCAAGATAGAAATGATTTTTTTTTGTCTTTTTCATTTTTATCGGTACCAGGGATCGAACTCACAACTGCCTGCTTGCAAGTCAGGCACTTATGCCGCTGAGCTAAATCCCCAGCCCCAATAGAAATGATTTTAATCAGAAAATATTTCTACTTAAGTAGGTGCTTTGAATAGGTAGGAAGGTCTTTGAAGACAGTTCACATTGTGAGTTGATTTTTTCATCTCTTCCTCGGCAATGATGGTGTTTGTTCATCTTTGAGTTCTCGGTACCCATTATGGCACTTGTAATATAGTGGATGGTCAATAATGTTGATTGAATAAAAGAATGAATAAGCAGAGAAATACTAAAAGCTATCAATAAGAAAGCAAACTTCAGTTTGTGTTCCACAATCTTCTTATAGAGATGTATTTCTTTAGATTCAACCTTGTCTCCTGGCACTGTCTTTGAAAAGTTATTCCCAGAAAGGAGAAACCTTTAGTCATAAACCCATTCACTGTTTGGAATCATCAGATGATTTTATCTTGAGAAGAGTAGATGGCAGGATAGTCTGAGGCCTTGGGGTTCTTAGGTGAAAAAGAAGAAACTGAAAACTAGGGAGAAGGTATATAAAACATAGAGAGGGAACCCATTGTGGTGGTACATACCTGTAATCCTAGCACTCTGGAAAGCTGAGGCAGGGTGATTGCAGATTTGAGCCCACTCTGGTAACTTACTGAGACTCTGTCTCAAAATAAAAATAAAAAATAAAAAGGCAGGTATGTATCTCAGTGCAAAGATCCTGGATTCAATCCCCAGAACATCAGAGGAGAAAAAAGTAGAGAGAGCAATAAAGGCAGATTATGTGCTTCATTCTGTGATTACTAAGAAACCTCTGTGCCCAGAGTTGTGGGAGGCGAGGCAGAGTACTTGCCCACCTTGGCCAGCTCAGTGCCCTGGCCCTACAGCTTGATCCTGCTTCCTACCTCCCCAGTCACTG